ATGTGGTCTGCTGAAGTAAAAATAGAGGGTTCTAAGGTTAGTCTAGGGATTTTAAGCAAGAGAATCTTTTATAACTGATTTAGGAAATTTCCTGCAAGGTGGAAAAAGGACTGACCTAGCAAACAAGTTCGGGTGTGCATTTCATGTGACCCAACTCCAATTCTCAACAACGTTAAATAAAAGGAGTCGTGGACCGCGGGTGCATTTCATGTGGCGTGGTTTAAGACGTGTTTTAGATAACGTTGAATCTTCCTAAAATAATTAAAAGCGGTTAATAAGTTAAATTGTACCATAGGCTAAAACATGTAATAAATCGGATAATAGGCTAATATTAATAGTTTAAGCGACCGTGCTAGAACCATGGAACCTGAGAATGCCTAACACCTTCTCCCGGATTAACATAATTCCTTACTTAGAATTTCTGGTTCACAGACTTAAAAAAAAAGTCAAATTTTTTCGATTTGGGATTTTAAAATAAATCGGTGACTTGGGACACCAATTAAAATATTCCAAGTGGCGACTCTAAAAAATAAATAAATAATCCCATTTCGAATAATGTCACTTTAATTGGAAAAACTCCCTTATATACCCTCGGGTGTGTAAAAAGGAGGTGTGCTAGTAACTGGGCCAACATGGCCACAACTCGTAATGTATAACTATAAGTGGGAAAGCACTGTATCAATGAACCATCTTTCTTAAGACATGTATACATATGGGCCTCTGATATACTATATAAAATGAACCTCTATCTACAATGCCTCTAAGAGTATTAGACATCAAATGGGACAGGGTACCGACCGACCCATAAGTCTGTAGCAAAATTCTAATACGATGACTCATAGACTCGGCTGCACTCCGAATGAGGTGGAGTCTTACCGATCCTTCATTGAATGCTAACCTCATCTACTATAAAGGCTCGTCAAACTGATTGTTTATACCTGTTGGAATGAATGCAACATTCCCAACAAAAGGACGTCAGTACGAATAATGTACCGAGTATGTAAGGCACATAAATAAGTATATAAAAGACATGGAAGAAACATGGAGTAAATAACTCAACCTGTAAGTCTGGATAACTCTGTAAATCATGAAATACTTATAGTGTCATGCATATGCGTATGAATGTCATGTCGTACATAGGCACATGTGTTCATAACATTATCAAGCCTCTGAGGGCTCCCATCATATCATCTCGGCCACTGTGGGCAAAATCATCAACGTATACTAGCTGATCAAGTGGTGGTACGTATATAATGCCGTAACATTTTCTCATATCCCATATACATATAATATACATATATATACGTATACAACACCATCTGGTCATGAGTTAATGTGCATGTAAATTAATGCAATGCATGAGAAATACATCAATAAAATCTCTCGGAATGTCATAAGACCATTATGCCTTTGAGCAATATCATGAAGTAAACTTTTTAAACTTACGTATTTTTTGAGACCTATGAACAGACGATGGAATAATAAGACATATGGGGAATCAAGAATATAAGCACCTCTAATACTTTTATGAATAGAGTCATTTATGGAAGTTGTGTATTTACTTGTTTCATTTGTATCTTATGGATCATGCCAAAAAGAAAGAAGGAATATTCTTAACATACCTGAGTCGATTCTCTTGACAATCCCTCTAACACACATTTTTTGTGATAAAACACGTAATGACGGATCGAAGTAGGGAAAAATCCTTATGATATTCTTGAGAAAGATTGCACCGTACTCTCTTAGAATCGCAAATTCTCACGTTGCTAAATGATTTTGTATGAATTTTTGTAGCAAATTGTAGATGATCTCTTTGTGACTTGGATCATAACCTTGTATTATACTTGCTGAAGCAATCACGTTGAAAGTCCTTTATGGCTTTAGTGAATTCCATATTTTTGTGAATTAATCCAAACCCTGAATTTCATCCGTTACTACATGTAGTCATACGTCTCAATTTTGTGGTTTTGAGAGGTCTTTTATATAAATGAGTGTGGGCACCACACTTTAGATGACTAAGCCACATAATCCTTTAATTGTGACACCTTGCCTTATGATTCAAGAGTCATTTAATTGACCACTCTTGCTGCCGCATTGGGGACTATTTAACCTTATCCAAATAAACAAATTAATTAGTTAATCTTCCACTAAAATCACTAATTATCCAATTATACACATAATTAGAATTAGTTAATCTTCCACTAAAATCCAAATAAAAACCCATATCCACTCAGTCATTTTGAATTATCTCAAAATTACTTAAAATACTACTCACTTTTAACATACTTTATACACCTTACTATCATGGTCATGTGGTACCTTATATGACACTAGTCCATAAATACCGGGTATTATAGCTCCGACCGTATTTTATCCCAAATCGACAAACTTCGACAGAACTCACTTTCTTCGATTCGCTTACCCTCTTACCTTCACAAATTTACTTATCACTTGTTTGAAATAGCATAATACTTATAATATCCAAATAATATTGTTCTTGAACTGATGTCAATTATCTTACAACAAATTCAACATACAATACTACAAGGTGTAACATCGTCGTAATATAATACTGCGGAGCGTAGGATCATCGTAATATAAAACTACAGAGCGTAATATCGACGTAATACTATGGGGCGTAACACCCACGGTGGGCGCCAAACTGTTTACCCTTATAATGGATAACAATTGAATTTATACGTGATTTTAAAGATACGTGGATTGATTCAACACAAATAACCAAAAATGTTAAATAATTGAGTTAAAGGTATGAACAAAGAAACAATCGTAACGTTATGCCCTGGCTTGAACCTGGATTGGACAATAGTTTCTGCCCTCGGTTGAGTCTTGGGTTCGAGGCCAATCAAGAACAAAGAACAAAAATAAAGTAGAGACTTTTCAATAGCTGAAAAGCAAAGAAACAATTTTGTATTGCCTTGATATGTGTGTTACAATATGTCAATTGGATAAAAAAAATTCCCCTTTATATAGTAGGGGAGTTTTACATCTAGTACAATCCAAAAAAGGTAAAAATTCTCCTTGTACACCAATTACTAATATGCTACCGACATCAAGCGAGACCTGCATTGTGATATCCGATTGGGCGCGAAAATCACGGACCTCTGTTAGTCGTGTGCAACCATTTGTAATGATTTCCGAGGTCGCGGAGCTCGTTCCAGGTTCGGGGGGTGTTGCACCATCAGCCTTGGCGGCGAGTACGTCGTTTCAGCCTCGATTCAGAGGCGGCTCAACTATATTAGAGGCCTAAAGTCAAGCCGTAATAAGAAGCCTTAAACTTGTTTAATAATAATAGATATTTTTGTTGAAGTTTATTCTTTTACTTTTTGAGATGCAATTTAATCTTGATGATATAACCAACCCCTTTAATCTTTGTTGAAACATTCTAACCATTGTTAAGATTTTATTAAGTTTAATTTTGATTTTTTTCTTTTTACATGACTGTCAATATTACTCACTATATATCATTGCCTCCCAAAGTAACAATCATTTGAAAATTTGTATTTACAAAGATGATAAATAAATTAAATATAATTTTTTATGATCGAATTAGCTTAAAGCGTGCCAACAGATATCTTGAAAAAAAATATCTTACAAAGTTAGAGTTATAAAAAATATTATTAAGTTGGAGGAAGAACTAGAAAGTAACTGCAGATTTAATTGTCTTTCACTATTATTTGAATTTTCTGAACCAACTCTGAAAAAAGACAATATAAAATATAACACTATGTTATTAACGATTGGTAACAAGGCAGCAAAAGGTGGTTGAAAAAATTTTCTATTACTATTTAATAATAAATATAATAAATATTTAAATTACATATAAGAAGAGTAGCTTTTGGGGCCTTTAATTTTTACGAGGCTTAAAGCAGCCTCTTTTCGTGGCATGGGGTTGAACTGCCTGTGCCGCGAGAATTTGGGATGCGTGCGGACCCGAGTTTATACGTATACACCAATATATAGTCTACCAACAATATTGGGGGCACTACTTGAATAATTTCAAAGGGTTGAACGAAAGGGAGGACTGGGCGGGGCTACTTTGGGGGCAGTTGTAGGAAATTAGTAAACAGGGGCACGTCGGGTCAATATTATGCTTCGAACGAGTTTTTGTCCTTTTCCCTAGACAATTATCATGAATTTTGTATTTTCATGTGCCAAGAAAAAAAACTAAAAACCCAAAAATAATTAATTTAATTTTGATTTTGATGAAATCGAACTATGAACTGCTAACCATAATTAAGTAAATGTTTCCACAAAATATATTTTTTCTTTGTTGATCTGATGTTAACGTTGAGTACAATTAAGTTTATTGTTAAGTAATTGGGGTCGTTTAGTAGAATGCATAAGAATAATGCTGAATATGGTGTATTAGTAATGCTAGTATTAGTTATGCTTGTATTAGTTATGCTGACATATTTTTTATCGATTGTTTGGTTTGATGTATTAAAGCATTGCACATTTTCTAAAAGAATTGCTTGTTTACAAAAATACCTTCAAAACTAATTCATCACTCAAACTTTTTAAAAGAAACATACGTTGAGAAATATTTTTATATGAAAAAATTTTAAAAAATTATTTAATTTGTCTACCTATATTGTAAAATAGAACTAAATATTTATTTATAAAAAAGGAAATATGCTAAGTATTTATTTACTAGAGATATAATTTTATTTCTCACTATTTGAATTATTTTAAACTTGCATTAATATAATAGCTAGCATATTTTAATCAAGCATAAATATTGAAGGACAATTTTGTCTTTAACTAAGCTAATACATGCATTAAAACCCATTGCATTGCTAATCATAGTTTTTTATGCATTAGTTATGCATAAGATAATACCAAATAGAATGTATAACTAATGCTTGTATACTAATGCATAAGTTTAAAATATCTACCAAACAAGATATTATTAATACAAATGCTAATTCACGCATTATGTTATGTAATGCATGCTACCAAACCATAGCAAACCATGCTGGGTCTTTGAAATAGAGTGCGAACAACTCGCAGAGATAGCGCGTCCTACATGAGCAAAAAGTCAAAAGCAATTATCTAAACTTAGTGTCAGAGATCAAAAACATTATCATCACTACCTCAGTCTTCCCTGTGCGGCTGTGCTCGTCTCTCCCGGACGTTAAGACGCTTCCAGGTCTCTTAGTCGCTGGAGAAAATGGAGCATACTCGGGCGCTTGTAGCACTTACTATGTTTCTCTTGTCTTATGCTACCGATTCCGCCGGTGATTTCACCGCCGTTTCAAAGCTCCGGCGAAACTCTCAAGTGACTGGAGGTCTATGCGCTCACCTCATAGAACCTGCTGGTTTCCCTTGCACAGAACACTCGGTACACTATAATCTCCATCGATATGTATATATAACATGCGGATCATTTTCTGCTTTTTCTTCTGTGCAATTTCTTTTTCTCATAATCTCATAAGTTACTGCTCCTTTCATCCCAATTTATGTGACACTATTTGACTAGTCAGGAGTCTAAGAAAGAAAAAAAACTTTTGAAATTTGTGGTATATAACAAATCATTTGTATCAGGATACAATGGTAGTTTAAAGTTAAATTTTTCTAAAAATAAAATGTTACATTCTTTTCCAGACAAACTAAAAGGAAAAGGGTGCCATGTAAAATGAGATAGGGGAGGACTTAACTAACATAGCTAGTATAATTAATTATCTTAACATTGAACTCGTAAATGTGCCTGAACTGAGGGATTTAGTTGAACTGATTCATATAGTCGGCCTCTAACTAGTTTGCAATCGAGCTGTTCCTAATCGATATGTGATATTTTCTATCTTGGAACTATGAAAAATATGAATTACTTGAACTCGAGATGTATGTTGATATAGACATAGTGTTCTTTGGAATGTTATCTTTATTTTTTTTCTATTTCCTGTTGTATTCAATCATAAGAGGCCTTGTGTGATACTTCTAGTTGCTGATTCAGCTGAAAAATATTTTTGTATAATGAATCCCGTGTAGACTGAGACAAAGGATGGTTACCTCCTTGGACTTCAACGTGTGTCGTCTCGCTCAACAATTGTCAGAGGTGAAATGGGTCCTCCGGTCCTGCTCATCCATGGACTCTTTATGGTAATGTTGTTGCCAGTCTCAAATTTCATTTTGCTACCTTCTGAATACTAGGACTTTATTGCATTTTGGTACACCTGTTTGGAGCAGAATTAAATTCCTAATATATTGGCCAACTTACCAGAAGAAACACACTTGCGCTGTGCTCACAAAGAAAAAGAAAAAGGAGAAATGAGAACTTAGGCACAAGCAAAGGAGAAAAAGAACAAGGAAACATCTTATTATATATTTTTTTAGAAAACATTCTTTTGGCCCATCCTAGCTTGTTTGATTTTCAGCACAGTCCTATGTTGTAGGATCTATGCACTGAATCTTATAATGGTTAGACCACTCTGAACACTGGCATTTCTTCCAATCAATTGAACACCGGGCTGCCTTTTTTTTTTAATTGAAATTTCTTCTTTGTTAGCAGTAGACTACATCTGATATCGGGTCTTACTGGTTAAATTGGCTCAATTATCACATTCTGGGATGAATTTTTAATCCTAAAGAAGAATGAAGCTTGAAGTTCAAACAGATACCAAGAAGTAAATTTCTTCTTTTCCGATAAAAGAGATATTGTGTCTTTGTGAAGGAGATTGTATAAGAATGTTTTGGAGAGAGCATCTTGTGTAAGAATGCCTTCGGAGAAAGCATCTTATATTAGGTCAGATA